TATGCATCATGATTTAATGTAAGGTAGAAGCCTACTTATGAATTACCCAGAATGTATCCATTTCAAAGAAATTAGAGTATTGACTCAAAAAAGTTCATCATCATGGTTCATCATCTTCATCGAGAAAATTATGGTTGAATTTAGAAGACAGTGACCATTTTGGTAGTATTATAGTTCTTTTACCGTAGGTTCGTATGGCAGAAATATTATGCCGTATCTCAAATTGTAGCCTGGTGACAATGTGAATAATGGGTTACTTTTTGTTTTCCTGAATTATTTTAAAAATCTGGGTTTTAAAAAGTGCTCTTTGGAATCGTTCTAAAAACAGCACTTTTTGAAAAATATTAGGACAAGTTTCTCAAAATATGTCACTTTTATGGTACCATTAGACAACAGCTTCATGATTTTACATAATAAACCAATGGGCATTGTCATGCGATTCATGACCAACTTTCTCAAATATTGAGAGTAGATTTCTACCTTAAGGTAGAGATGCAGTTTACCTGACAGGTATTTTAATTAGATAATTAGACAACAAAGATGACCTCCCTTGTCCACAAAACTATATATTTTCGGAAAGCTTATTGTATGATTTGTTTTATGAACACTGTATTTTGCAATATGCACAAAAATGTGTTTTTTTGGTCAAAAGTGATTTTAAAAAATAGCTTCTAAACCATGCCTCAGTTTCCTGTCAAAATTGGTTTACGGGTACATCTGTTTACTATGAAGAAAGTGCCGTCTTGAAAACTGTCTACCAGTTGTCAATTTGGCTGGACAGCAGCTCAAATTTCACTAATTCAAGTATATGCATAAATTAACACCCAGGCTAGTTGTCTATACGATTATTGTAACATTGTTCAACCAAAAAAAATACCCCGACGGCGTTTTGAAGAAAAACACACTGTCAATTATTTGTGAAAATTTCAAAAGAAAAGGTCAAAGCGTCTAGGAGCTATTTTTCTAAGTTCTGGGATGTGCACTAAAAAGAAGCCGAGATAATTGCTTATTTGCATATTTTATAGTTAAGTAAAAATATATGCTGATTTACATCGCCATTGGATTTAACTAATGATTTTAATTTAAAATTTTCACAGAATACAGATGTTCATACAATGCCACAAAAAATAAAAAAAGTGAAATTTGTCCAAATTTGCAAAATAAACTGCATCTCTACCTTAAGAATGCTAGAATAGCATGTTATTTTGTGTATAATGATTCAGTTTAGGGTTGCAAGTAAACCCGACAGTCACTAAAGTTGAATTTGTTTCTGTTTCTGTTCTCTGTAGCAGAAACGAGACAACTTACATGGATGATAAAACAACAGTTCCATTTGCTCATAATAGAGCAATCTATCATAAATTTTGTTGGTCTGAACATGCCATATAAAAAACTCTCCCTTTGATCAGATTTCAAAAACTATTTTACTGATTGTGATGTAGATATATTTCCATAAAATCATATTCTGTTACATGTCTTGCCTTGTTATCTTAAGTAATATGTTAACCTCACCATCCATACGTATGAACATTCGGATTCGTCTGACCAGAATGTTCTCTGAATAGTTCTTACATAGGCTCTTTAGTGGTATGTAATTTCATTGTCCTTCTCTATGCCATACAGTCTGGGAGGGAAACTGTGTTAATAAAGATGACAATAGGAAGAGGGAAAGAAATAGGGAGGAGAGGAAAAGGTGGCGGGGTAAGAGGACGATGACGTTGAATGATTATGATGATAATAATTCAGACGTTGAGAACAATAACTAGAAATTATTTGATATTACTGTTATGAGGGTCGGCAATGGGTATTTCGTAATCTGTAAACAATTGTTTTTATTTTCGCAATAATGTAATTCAAATAAATAAAAAACGTGAATTCGTAGACAAGAGCAAGGTGTAAAACGTAATCAGCTATTTTATTCGTTCGTGATTTGTACATCTATTTTTTGGTAATCGTATAATCATATTTTCACATTAAATGTCGTAATTAGTACGCAATTTCCAATTTAGATTGTTAAACACAAATTATCAAATATATTATAAAAATATAAAATGGAATTTGCTTCATCTGTAAAGTGTAAAAACTCTTAAGTGCTCCTAAATATTTTATTTGAAATCACCCTTAAAACCCAAGGGTAGGTGGATTGGTATCATAAATAAAGCCACGTGGCTGCAGAATGTAAATATGGAATGGACGCACGACCTCTGGTGAACCTGGTATGCTACCATGATTTATAGGACATTTGGTTACTTTACGGATCACTATCACAGTCGCAATGGTAGACTTTATATATATTGTAAATGTTACTTATTTACTATTTTAACGTTTATATAATGTTGGGTGTACATGGATGTCTTACTGTAGGTGACCTTGCCTTTACACGGTCTGTGCTATGCCTAGCTAGTTCCACACACCTGGAACCAGTAAAATGCATGCTGACCGCCATTGTAAATATATGCGTCTTGAAAACGTGTTGAATGATTTGTAAAGGCATAGTACACAAGTGGGCTGACATGCTG